CTACATAGGAGATCCCCAAACTCCATGGAAAGATTCCTAGATTTAATAAATAATTTCATCAATGTAGCTGGATACAAAGTCAATACTCAAAAATCAATAGCATTCCTATACATTAACATTTGTTGATTTTGATCACTAAGAGAGAAGTAAGAGAAGCCAAACCCTTCACACTAACATCCAAAAACATGAAATACTTAGGAATTAATCTCACAAAAGAAGCAAAAGATCTACACCAGGAAAATTATAATACCCTGAAAAAGAAATTAAAGAGGACCTCAGAAAATTGAAAGACATTCCTTGTTCTTTAATAGGTAGAATAAATATTGTGAAAATGGCTATTCTCCCAAAACTGTTGTACAGATTCAATGCAACCCCAATTAAAATGCCACCAACATACCTCATAAATGTAGAGAAATCACTCCTAGATTTCATCTGAATCCAGAAGAGACTTAGAATAGCAAAGGCAATTCTAAGCAGCAAAGACAAAGCAGGACACATCACAATCCTTGACTTGAAGTTATACTACAAAGCTATTGTAATAAAATCAACATGTTACTATAATAAAAACAGATCTGAAGATCAATGGAATAGATTAGAAGAAACAACCACCACTACAAACACACTCAACCACCTTATCTTTGAAAAGGGAGCTAAACATGTCCACTGGAAGAACAACAGTCTCTTTAATAAATGGTTCTGGAAAAACTGGCTCTCCATATGCCAAAAACTAAAACTAGACCCATGTCTATCACCATGTACTAAACTAAAATCTAAATGGATCAAAGATCCAAATATTAAAACAGAAACACTAAATCTGTTGGAAGACAAGTAGGTAAAATCTTGAAGCCATAGGGGTAGGTAGAGAATTCATGAACAGGAATCAAACCACGTGGGAAATACAACCAATAATCAATAAATGGGATCACAACTTATTAAAAAAGAGTTTTTTCATGTTGAAAGAAATCTCCAGGATAGTGAAAGGAAAACCCACAAACTGGGAAAAAATCTTAGTGAACTGTCCCTCAGACAAAGGACTTCTGTCTAAAACTTTTTAAAAATTTTTTAAAAATTAGACCCCCAAAATTCAAAAACCCAATCCAAAAATGGGTATCTGAGATGAATACATACTTCTCAGATGAAGAAATACAAATGGCAAATAAATACATGAAAAAATATTCAGCATCATTAGTCATAAGAGAAATGCAAATTAAAACAACACTGAGATTCCATCTCACTCCAGAAAGAATGGCCAAGATCAAGAAAACTATCAAAAACTAATGCTGGACAGGCTGTGGGGTAAAAGTAACTCTCCTGCACTGTTGGTAGGAGTGTAGACTGGTACAACCACTGTGGAGGTCAGTCTAGAGATTCCTTAAAAAGCTGAGATTGGAAGTCCCATTCGACCCAGCTATTCCGCTTCTGGACATATTCCCAGAAGAACTGAAAATATACCACAGTGATATATGTGCACCCATGTTTATAGCAGCCCAATTTGTAATAGCCAGATCTTGGAAACAACCTAAGTTTCCATCAACTTAGGAATGGATAAAAAGTCGTGGTATTTTTATACAATGGGATACTACTCAGCTATAAAGAATGATCACATTGAGATATTTATAAATAAATGGGCACAACTTGAGACCATACTCGTAAGCGAAATAAATCAAACTCACATGTATAATTACCATATAGTCTCCCTACAGTAAGAAATGATAAGAGTACATGAGATTTTATGGTAATCATGATTCTTCATTACATTGCTTTGAAGCCTTGTAATATTTTCATTCATAAGTTGCAATGGTTTTATTCTGTTTTGTTTGATTTTATTATGTGTGATGGTATGAACAGCTATTTTGAAGAAAACAAGACATTATGGCAGCCACTGCTGATTTAATATCATCTTGCTTTGAAGTCCTACCATGCTTTTGCTCTTCTATTTCCATTGGTTCTATCATGTTGTGTCTTTTTGGATTTTATTATGTGTGATAGTATAAACAAATTTTCTATGGAAAATGAGATATTACAGTAGCCACTGTTCATTTTTTGTTACTTGATTCTGAATATCCTGTAATATTTTCAATATCTTGAATGGTTTTATACCATTTTGTTATGTTTGATATTATTGTATGTGAAGTTATGCTCAACTAGTTCAAAGAAAGAGACATTATGGTAGCTACTGTTAATATCCAGTTGTCTTGTTGTGAAGTGCTGGGTTGCTTACATTGTTCTGTTCTGATCTGCTTTGTTATGTCCTCTTTGTCTTAATCTCTTTAAAATAAAAGAAAAAATTAAAAAAGGAAGCATGTTTTTAAATCTACAATATGCTCCTAAAAATGTTTTCATGTGCTTGAAAACTCAAGTGTTTTTCTCTTTCATAATATTTATATTTTTAGTATGTGTCCTGTTTTATTTTCTGAGTTATATTCCTTTCTCCACACACTCCCTTAAATGATTTGTTTCAAGATAATTTCCTCCATAATTGTAGAAATGGTCCGTCATTAATAATGCATAAGGCTGCCTCTTTCCCTGAACCTTGATTGACAGTAAGTATTATCTTTCATATTATATATTTTAAGGCAGCTTTAGTTTCCAGAAAAATTGACAGAAGTACAGAGATTTCTCATATATTACCTGCCCTTACACATGCATATCTTTGTCTCACCTGCTATTAAGTTTTAGCAGATATCATATACACCTGGAACTCCAATAGGAACATTCAATTAAAAATATCTTCTACATATGTTCACCTAAAGTGTCATTATTCTTCATTATATCATTCTCTCTGGACAAAACAATAGTTCTCAATAATTGAGACCTTGATTTCTTCTCATTTACTTCTCCTCATAGAGTAATGTATTTGTTACAATTGATGATGAATGTATACATCATTATTACTCAAAGGCTATAGTCTACATTGGAGTTTACACCCTAATGTACCTAGTACTCTTCTATGTACCAATATATTATGACACATATCCACTATTACAATATTAACTATTTTCTGTATTTTCAGTTCTCCTCTCCTATCCCAACTTCTAACAAGCATTCACCTTTTGAGTGTCATTAATTTTACTTTTTCTAGAAATGAAATAAAGCTTTTGGCTTTTTCAGATTGTCTTCCTTCACCTACCAATATGCATTTAACTTTTCACAATTGTGTTTACATAAGTTTTTAACTTATTTCACAAATGCTGTGTATATGTAAGTTTTTAACTTATTTAGGTAAATATCAGAAAGATTGTTGAATCATATAGTATGATCATGTTTTTTAAGAATCTACCACACTAGGCTGCACATGGTCATACACACCTATAATCCCAGCACTATGGGAAGCTGAGGCAGGCAGATCATAAATTCAACTCCAGCCTGGACAACTTACTAAGGCGTTGTTTAAAAAAAATGTGAAGATTACTCAGAGACACACTGAGGATGTAGCTCACTGAGAAGACAAGGGGCTCAGTTCTCAGTAAGGACAGAAAAGAAAAAGAAAGAAAGAAAAAAAGAAAAGACTCCAGCAAACTGTCTTCCAAAGGGCTGTACCCCTTTTCATGTACCCCAGCAATGAAGGAGAGTTCCGCTGCTCTGTGTCCTCAGTTGTACTTGATATTGTCAGTGTTTGAGAATTTCTTCACTCCAGTAGGTGTGCAGTGGCATCTCACAGTGTTGTCATTTTCTGTATAATGTGTGGTCCTGAACATCGTTTCATATGTTTATTTGCCACTTAGGGAGCTTTAGTGATACAGAAATCTTTGGCCTGTTTCTTAGTTGTGTATGTGCTCTTATGGTAGAGTTTTAAGAGTTTTTGTGTGTTTTGTGTAACAATCCTTTACCAGTTATATCTTTTACAAATATTTTCATCTCATGAAATCTGTTTTTGTTGCACTGATCTTTTGGCATTCCCAGTCTAGCAATGGTCTCTTCATGGCTTAGGATCGTTTAAATCAATATTGTCTCCTTTCTTGAACTAGCCGAGATGTGAACTGGAAATAACACAGCAGAAGAGATCATTTCAAATTCTTCATATATGCCCTAAGAATATGCTTTAACTAACCAAAATGCCCATCAACCACAGCGTGGATGAAAAAAATGTGGTGTTTTTATACAATGGAATGCTATTCAGCTATTTTAAAAAGTATGCTCTTGAGGCCTTTATAGGTAAATGGAGGCAACTTGAAAATTTCATTAGTGAAATAAACAAAACCCACATTAGTAAATATCACATTGTCTCTCCAGTGTAAAAAATAATAAGAACTGATGGAATAATGGGATCCAAAAAGTATAATAAATATTGTAAAAGTGAAAGAGAAGGAAAGTGCTCTAAAGGATATAACAGTATGTGTAGTGTGTAAGACAGATGACCATATTACTAGATTTCTGTTAGATCATTAACAGAAGGGTTTGCACTGTCAGTATTTGAATGTCTAACCACTTTTTATGTTTTGATTTTGTAACTTTAACAACTATTTTTAAGATGACAATATATAATGTGTCAATTACAGATTTTATGATTTTTTTGAATTCTATATTTTTTTTGTTTTTTTAATTCTTTCTTCAAATAAAAAAAATTGGAAAAATATGCTTTAATAAATTATACTTTAAAATTACATTTGACTGAAATAATTTTAGAATGTGAAAAATTTTAAATGTGGGAATTTAAGAATGTATTTTATTATGTGGGGAAATTGTGACTGACCTGGTGATTTTCATTTAAAAAGTCATACTGATTATCTGCCAGGCCAATAATCTTCATATGACTGTGCTGTTAGCCAATGTATACCCTGTCTGAATTTCAAACTAAACCTTTAAAACAAAAGTCTCCTGCTTGTATCTTCATAATTCTGCCATGCTTCTGACATTCCCAAGTACATGCATGCTGGGTCTAAACCAACTGGTTTTAAATTGATTGTGATGGCCAGCTAAGACCCTAAGCCCCAGTAAGTTTTGGTTATATTTCTTTTAAATAAAAATTAAAATGTCCTTGATTTGATTTTGTCTTTTAGAAGTATCTTGTGCAGAGAGTAAAGCTGTCAGCAAGTTTGGATCTTTTTCTGCCACCTTAGAAAATGGAATCTGCCTCTCAATAAGTTATTATGGATCAAGTGGAACAGTGCCAGGTGAAATAAATGAAAAAAAAGACATGTGTGCCATGGCGAGAATCACTGCCCAACCTCAGTCTACACACTGTCGATAAACTAGTTCTGTTTAATGCCTCTTACAATTTTTTACAAGGCAAAGCAATGAAAATGTGGTACATACACATAGGTGTACATAATATGTTTATATGTGTACATATCACTCGTATTTGCAAATGAGAATATAGTTTTGGCTTTTAAATGGCATTTGTCATTTATGTAATCTTTCATATAATTGCATATGTATATAGGATCATATGTATAAACGCACATATAAATTCCACTTAACTTTCTTAACTAGCCCATGAAAATAATTCTGTAGGTTAGTGCCAAAGAAAGCATGATTTACCAAGAAATCCTTTTGATTTTCTACAGAATAATATTTTTATGAATTCTGTGATTGTGGAAGTGCTCGGTGTGCTACAGGACATTAGTCTTAAAGGAGCTATTCATTGGACATCTTGAAGGATTTCTCTCCTCTACTTTCAATAAATAAATTTTCCAACTGGAAGCTATTTCCTTTCAAACCACAAAATAATATTTCACTTTTACCAAGAGGCAATTAGGAAATCTGTGAGTTCCTCTGCATTTTAAAGGGATCTAACCACAGTACATTTTTTTAAAGCATTACAAAATCAAAAGGTAATCCCTATACTATACAACCTTGAAACTGAATGTTAGTATAGATCATGGTGATCCAGTTATCTCCCTATTCTGTAGCTCTTTTTTCTGCAGGAACAGTGTTACCAAGCATTATTATAACCAGTTTCTTAGTATAGTTTCAAGTGCCTCTAGCACCACAAACAGGAGATGCTAAAAAGCAGATACAAATGTGGATTTGGATTGAGATGGAAAGTCAGGTAAATTCTGGAACCAGTAGCAGATAAATGGCAGTTAGAGCCCCAAAAGTGAGCAAGATGATCTGGATTTAATATTACAAGTAAAGATGCTCAGCTTTGGTTGTGTGTCATAATTACATGTAGGGTTTTATAAAGCAACTTCCTGAGCCTCATCTTCTGTGAGTCTGATTCAGTACATGATGTGGGCCTGAGCAGTTGTTTTTAATTCCATGAAAATTATTATGCACTAATAGAGTCAAAACTTGGTATGCTAAGGGACCGAGTAAAAAGGAAGAATCAGTAAAGGGCACTGAGGACAAACTGACAAGAGTAGTAAAAGATCCAAAAGAGGTGTCCTGGAACCCAGAGGGAATAGAATTCAAAATGAAAGAGATGCTCTGGGACTTACCACATAACACCTCTCCTCAGCTCTCAGAATCTCAACAATCCTTTACAACCTGTAAGAAAACACATTGTGTGTGTGTGTGTGTGTGTGTGTGTGTGTGTGTGTGTGACCTCAACCTAGAACTAAGCTGTTTCTTTCCTAGCTTTCCTTCTTTGTAGCATTTCTTGCATTTTTATTTAATATGTCCTTGTATTCTGCTATTTGAGTGTAGATCTTTAGACTATTTTGACTCAATAGGACTTTCACTTTTTTTCATATATAATAAATGAAAGGTTATTTTTCTACCATTGAGAAATTTATAGTGTAGATGGAAAGCCAAGAACATGTGACATAATGACAGAATTGATCAAGCATACTAAAATATTAATAATCTTTAAAATTTTTCTACAATCTTTCTGATTGTCAAATCAATTGCATTACCTCTGAAAATGTATTTAGAAAGGTAAAAACTGTTGACAAGTTGTATAAACTTTGAGATATAAATGTTATGAATATTTGATTTACCTGTTTTTCTCTGGTTTATAGATGAGAAGGATCCTGATCTGGAGGCAGTGTTGAACATCCCTTCAGTATTGACTCCAATTGTGATCCCTGCTGTAGTGAATGTTCCTCAAGGCAAAACAAAAGGGAAAGTAAAAGGCAAAGAAAAACCCAAGGAATCCCTTAAAGAAGAAGAGCACCCAAAAGAAGAAGAGAAAAAGGTAGATGAACCTTGCCACAGAGTCCCAAACTCCATTTCTCCCTCAGCATTGACTTTTTAAAAATCATAGCTTATATCAATAGTGTTATCATGGGAAATATATTTCATTTTTCAAATGCATTAGCTTTCCCCATGGTGTCAACTTTGAGTGCACAGGAGGATTTTCACAAAATTTGAATTCCACTCCAGGTGACCAATTGTCTAAGGTCATTCATTCAAAAATTCAGAATGGCTAGGTCAGTCTTTTCCCCACTGCAGTCCCTGGGTTTTTGTTTCCTAGTTTCCTAGTATTTGTTGTTTTTTATCACTTAGGGTAGTTCTATTGAAATAAGTAAACATTGTAACACAATGGAATAATTATGGAAGCAATTTCATTTATTAGACTTGGACTTAGATATTGACATGTTAGGAACTCAGTAGGGCTAATGGACAGCCCAGTTTCTGCTCCAACACTTCCTTATAGGACACACACACACACACACACACACTCTTTAAACTTTGTCCCAGTAGAACACAGATCAAAAGAGAGTCCTAAAAGAGAAATAACAAGAGAAGTACTGGGAAATTTTGACTCAATATATGCTACCAGAAATGCAATGTGCTTATTAGAAGAAGAAGGAAAAAAAAGCACATTAAAAAGTTTCAAGACTCTGTATTTCAAAGTCTGGCCTTTAAAAAATGATGGAATTTAAACATCCCTTTGCTTCTATATTATACTTACATAGCTATTACAGATGAATTTTACCCTATAACACATTTGATTCTTGTTACATGAAAAGTTCAAGCATTGAGCAGAATAACTTATGCATAATCGATTTAAAATAAATTTACCCAAAAGCAACTTGATAGCAAACCTAACATTTTTAAAACATTGATAATAATAGGAATGTATGCTCTCGAACTTAAAGCCAAAGGGATGTTAAAGCCAAAACTACAGGAAATTATCAACAGGTAACTGAATTTTCCTAAAAATATCTTCACAGCAATTACATGCCCACTAGGGATATGTTAATAAAACTATAAATGCATAGTGTAATACAGAATAGCAAAAAAAGTTTTGTGAACAATTTATATAGGAAAGTAAATTAGCCGGGCGTGGTGGCTCACACCTGTGATCCCAGCACTTGGGAGGCTGAGGTGAGAGAATCGTTGCGAGTTCGAGACCAGCCTGTGCTATAAAATGAGCTCAAGGCAAGCCTGAACTGCATAGCGAGACCCTGTCTAAAAAGACAAAAAAAAAGGTAAATTGTTTTTTAAGTATTAGGCATATTTCTTTTAGGAACTTAAAATGTTGTAAGAGTTTTTTAAACATTCAATATTTTAATTGTAAGAGATTGTAAGAGACATTTTGTATTAGAGCCAGTGATATCAGGTATTCTAATTGGAGCTTTGATTATATTACCTCAAATATTTCTAGAATGTCACATGGTCTGTTGGGGATAAAAACTGCACAATAAGTGTCAAATCTCTGCTAGCAAACCAATATTAATGTATGAGATAAGCCTTGGTTTTGTGTGTGGTGATTGATCTGATGTGACATATTTGTGTCTTTGAATACTTTTGTTCAGTCAACAGAATTTCATAAACCTCTTAACTTTACTCATCACTTGTTTGTGTTTTTAAATGCATTTTAGCAAATTACTTACATTTTTCCTCCATTAGTGTCAAAAAAGATAGAAGAATCTAAATGATCAACAGTAGAAAGACTCAGTAATGGGACATTAGTTAGAAAGATCTCAGTGGCTAACTACAGAGAAATAACTGGAAAAGCTGAAATGCTTTTCATTTATAATTGTTTGAAAGTCACCAAACAACTTTAATTTTTGAGTACGTATAACCAAGCAAGGGATTCAGACATAAAAGACACACAATTAATTATAATTTTGAAGTACATGCACCCAGACCCTCATTATTTTATAAATAAAAGTTCATTGTGTTTTTTCTGTTGTTGCTTTTACTAGCTACATCATTATAGAAAAGTAATGCAAGTATTAGAAAAAGAGGGTGTGTCTTGCATACAAACTGTAAGAATTTTACACACATAAAAGACGCTTTACCTGTCTTAGTCTGTTTAGACTGGTATCACAAAACACCTGACACTGAGTGATTTGTAACCAATAGAGATTTGTCACTCAAGTTTGGAAGGCAAGATGCTGGCAGCCTCAGTGTCAGTGAGGGCTTGTTGTTTCTATAAATGGCCCCTTCTATGTGTCCTCAGTTTTCTTTTATGGGGACATTAATCCCAGTCATGAAGAAGAGTCAACATGATCTAACCATTTCCCAAAGCCTGTCTTTTCATATTATCGCTTTGGGCATTAGTTTTCAGCCTATGAATTTGGGCACAGCAGAGGCAACAGCACAAGAGCATTCAGACCACGGCACTGTTCTTACACCTACACATCCACGTGGAAGTGTGATTCCAGGCCTACCTCGAAACTGCAATCCTCCATGAATCCCTTCCTGATTATTTCTAATAGTGTAGCAGCTGCCTTTTCTGAAGGACAATGTGCCATCCATTTGATTCTACCATTTAACTGCCTCATCTTTTTCCTATGTGCCTCTCTACAAGCAGAATACAAACTTTTCAAAGGCCAAGACTCCTTAGCCTTCCACAAGGTCTACTGAGCTGTTCACAAGTTATAAAGATATCATAAGCACTCACCAATTGTTTAGATAAAATAATTGATTGTTTATTTAGAAAATAATAAGTATTCACATGCAACATTATTTACAGGAAGAAGTAGAACCAGAACCTCTTTTACAAGAGACTCCTTATGTTCCAACCTTCCAGAACCTAAATGTGTCTTGTCCCAATGGGCTTCTGTTGACCTTCATTGGGCAAGAGTCCACAGGTGAGTGTGAGCTGGTAAGAGAAAGGAGCTCAGGGCAAAAAGCTGCGTAAGAAAACTGTTAGATTGCCATTAAAAGTGCTGTGTTTTTCCTATTTCTTAATCATGTCTCTTGCTCCTAATGAACATGACTATTTTCAAATAATAAGCATAGTAATAGTGACCTTTTTTAAACATTTACTAAGTACTTAACAAACATGGAAAATAAAATACTATGAGTTAGATACTAATACCTCCACTTTACAAAATAAAGAAATTGAGACTTCAGAAGATTGAATAACCTGCCCATGGTCACCCACCTTATACATGGCCTCTGAAGAGGGCCATAGGAACATTGTTTTGATGGCTGCCCAAACTAAAGACAGAGGCACGAAGTAGACTGTTCTAAGTGCAGGTTGAATAACTGGCCCATATAGCGAAATATAACTGTAGAGAATATGTTATTTCTGTCCTTTCAATATATGGTTCTTATCTATTCAGATAGATAAAGACAAGTAAGACTTGTTATGAAACTGATGAGGCATCTATGTTAGTGATTAATTGGGTGGCTTTTAAATAGACACACACTGTTGCAACATAAATAGGAAATGAAACAAAGACACTGAACTTGGATGTGAGTTCCCAAGGTGACCTTTAAATCAACTAACTGGTTTATATGACCCTCTGGACCATCTCTGTTCATCTGATAATCACTTGATAAATGTTAAATTTATATCAATGGACCTTGATTTTATTCATAATATTCTTTTTATTTGAATTCCCTCTGATTCCCACATTTGAAAAGCAGGTCTTGTCAAAGAAAAAATTATACTGACTTAAAAATAATCCAAAGTTCTATTTACTTGCCAGCCCAAATAAAATAAACTACATGTGGAAGTTAATGTACTTTTTCTTAATTATTTTAAATTAGACTTTCTGAATTATTTTTCCTAGAGTGTTTGTTTGTTTGTTTTTGTTTTTTGGTATCAGAAATCAAACTCAGGACCTTGCAATTGCCAGGCAGATTCTACTTCTCTGAACTATATCCCCTGCCCTGAATTATTTTTAAAAAAAGATGGACTCCTGTTCTATTTCCAGAGGTCCTTAGTTATTCAGATTTTATGTGACCAGAATCACTGTGCTCAATGTCTCCTAAGTCTCTTTCAAAGTCTAAGATGTAATGAGTGTCCTGAGAGAAATACTGTTTTCAAGTTCAAGCATATATTTGTTCACTTGATTCTGGTATCAAACCTCTACTTAATACTTGTTATATCTGTCTTTTATATGAGTTTATTATCTGCTCTGATATGTTCATCCTTATGTAAAGATATAAAATATGTCTAATAACTCTGCCTGGAATATATCATCTTTTTTAAAACTTCCATATTTATGAATATCCTAATTTGTGCATGCATATGATTATAACATAAATACCAATGTAGCCTCATCTCCAAAAGTCTACCTTAGACATAAAGCAGGTTACTATGTCAGAAAAAGAAAGACCTTAGACTTTAATTTTTAGGGGGGATATTTTTTTAATCAATGAGAAACAATATCTAACCTTGACTATACTGTTCAATGTTAGTGTGCCGGATTGTTCCATTTTTTGTGAAACTTTATTTGTGTGTATGTGTTGGTGATGGTGGTTTATTAGAAAACCGTTTAAATCCCAGCTCTTCCATCTATTTACCCTATGATTATAGGGAACTTCTACCTCCAAGCCTCCATTTTTTTTTATTTGAAAACTGTAGAAAGTAAAAATCTCTAAAATCGCATTAAAGGGGAATAAGTAAAACATAGAGATAAAGTGCCATATAGAACAATTTCAGTAAGTACTTTCATCATTATGATTGCATTTGTGGTTTGAGCAAACTGTAAAACGGTCCCACTAAGTATTTTCCCATAAGCCCACTAAAAAGTATTCCCCTCCAGCCTGATATAGTCCTTCAAATGCCATCATTATATCTTCATTTTTGTTTAAGATTTTTGGACTCTAACAAACCACATTATAATTAAGAGGAACTTACTCAGTAAAAACTGGATAGATACCTCATACCAGAATTTCTCCACAGTATTTCCTTCTTTTTAAAGAAGCTTACTGGATGCTTTTACCATTGATTGCCAGCTAACAGCTGAACATTGAGAGAAATCTGGGTCTGACTAGGAATGAGGGAGTTATGTTAACTTTTTTAAAAGTGATGGATGGTTTGGAATGGGTTCTTGGCCACTAGGTGATGCCAGGCTAGCACAGTATATTTTGTGGCAAGAAGTTACTCAGAAATGAGAGGAAAGCAGCAATAGAGGGGGAAAAAAAACATGTGGGATGGTTGCCCTGAGCTGTTCCGGGCTTCCTGCCAGAGAAAGGCATTTTCATGGTACAAGTAGCTGCCATGCGCCTGCAGATGACCTTACTACACCTGAGTGTGTGACATGTCAACAGAGAACCAGTTCTCTGAGCCATCTGTCAAGGCATGAAAACTCCCTTGTGATCCAGATGCAAACCAAAGAATGAAAACAAGCAAGAAAATACATTCCCAGCCCACTAGATTCAAAGAATAACTTTATTCCTTTTCATTTTTTAAGATCTGCATTTCGTGGATGAAGAACCCATCTGGGACATCATGATCCGTCAGAGCTACCCACAAAGGATGAAGCACTATGAGTTCTATAAAACAGTGATGCCACCCATGGAACAGGAAGCTTCCAGAGTTATCACCAGTCAAGGCACTGTTGTCAAGTATATGTTGGATGGATCCACACAAGTAAAAGGATATACCATACTATCTACTCTCCCTTGCTGAAAAGTAAAAGACAGATAGCTTATGAGACAGAAACATTACTATGGTAGAAAAGAGAAACAAATAGTATGACATCTTAGAGTAACAAATGAAGATTAGTCAGAAGAAAAAATGCTACCTATACAAACAGGATACAAATAAATCATCATTTCTTGACATGATTATTTGGTATTTGTAACATGGTGTTTATCTCCCATCCCTCCCAGAGTACCTGGAAGTGACATATTTTTAAATAATGAATTTGTAACAGCACTGAAAAACAGCAAAATATGTCATCAATAGGTCAGAATATTTGAATAATTCCTAGAAATTACAATTTAAGGTCAAACCAATGGAGAAACAAGAATAATACTGAAGGCATGGCTGAAAGAAAAACCTTAAAAATAAAAATGGAGGTTCCTACAGATATATTACCTCTGGGCTCAGAAACTCAGTAATTCCAGAGTTAGAAACCAGAAATCAAAAGCACAGAAGCCATAAACCTTACCCACAATTCCTCAGTGGTCACAAGGCAGCACTATTATAAACAGATACTACACCACCAAGAAATGAAAAGGGTTCCCAAGGAGAAATAAAGTCAAGGGAGGGCAGCCTCATGAAAATAGGAAAACAGTTTTGAAGTCACCTAAAATTAAAAGTAAATACTCAAACAAGAAAATTAAAAATGAGTAAAAGTAATAGAGACTGGAGAAGTTAAAAATCCATGAAATAATTTTTTAAATCGCTATGAAAAAAATCAAGAGTTCCTAGAAGTTAAAAATAACTCTAAAGGATCAAGTACCAGGAAGGGTGGATTATGAGGGAGAGAAATGTGGGAAAGGGATTTACGTACTAGAATATCCAGAAGAAGAAAATAGTATAAAGGGAGAAATAATAAAGTAATAATCAAATAATCATAACATAAAACTGCCTGGCACTTAAAAAATAATTCAAATTAGACAAAGCAACAAAGTACCCATCAGAATTGGCAATAGTTGGTCTTTAAAAGATTCTATAAATAAGTCATTTTTCAATTTTAGGGCTCTAGAGTAGAAAATTCCCAAAACTTCGTCTACAAAAGATTAAGAACCAGATTGGCCCTGGGCTTCTTTGTCATGTTCATTGAAAGGCTGCACATACTGATGTATTACAGTACCTAGAGTTATGATACATAGTAGATACATATTAATAGAAACTAAACATTTAAAAATCGATTCAGTTTTAGCTAGGTATGGCGGCATACATCTACAATCCCAGCATGCAGGAGGCTGCAGCAGGAGGATGACCCTGAGCTTGAAGCCATCTTGGGCTGCATAGTGAGTTCAAGGTCAGCCTGGACTGCATAGCAAGACCTCATTTCAAAAACAAAAAATTAAATGCAGTCATTTGAATAATTGAAAAAGAGTAAATAGTTTTTCAAGTACATAGGATAAAGGTGAAGAATAGAATAAAATCTCAGTTACCCAACAAAGACAAAAAACAAGAAACACAAAGTAAATAGAAAGTATAAAACCATAACCTGCTGGTTGTTAAGCTGCCACCACTGTGCTCCAGTAATACATTCTGTGGGAGGAGTCTTGAGGCCTACCATCAGTCTTTCTTCTCTGAATTATTTTGAACCTATTTCTGTTTATCACACAATGCTTACAGCTAGCCGACCCTTCCCTTGCTTCTGAGCATGCTGAAGACCTTTGTTTTCTTCTCAGATTCTCTTTGCAGATGGAACTGTGATCAGTAGTCCTGATTCAGGCCCAGTCTGTCCTGAAGTGTCAACAAGCCATCATAATGGAGATATGGCAGATTCAGCTTCTCAGCCAAAATCAGAAACAGTGCCATCCGAGACTGCCATCGCAAAGAAAGGTAACCATGCAAGCCTCTCAGTGCATACCAGATTGAATAGATTTTGAGCTTACTGAATGTTCCACATCATTATCATAATACTGTTCACCTTTACTATGACAATATACAAATATCCATATGTGAATTTTTGTTGCAATCACAGAATTACTATCCTTTCATGGACTGATCTTTTTCTCTTAGTAATAAATAATGAACATTCTCTTATGTTGCTTTATGTTCCTACATTCACTGTACTGCTGGGAAGCTGGTTTAGAGTTGGTTGAGATCAACAATGTTAAGGTTCTGAGGAAGCATCAAGGTTGCTCCTGACTTTTACCTCAAATTGCAAGAGGTGCATTAGCTCCAGGGATGAGGTCGTTATATAGAAACTTCTGAAATAGAAAGGAAAGAAACTGAGTCAAGAGCTTTCTTCACTTGTTTATCTTTACCAAGAAAGATTATAGTTTCCATTTTTACACCCAGCAACTCTCCCTTTGTATCTCATTGACTGGACCTGGCTAGGAACATAGGCTGGGAAAACAAGTATCTGAGATATTTTGGCCCCTTTCTTGAAAAAGAGCACTATTATCAGGGAAAAAAGAAAATACCAGTAGAGGAAGCAACCAACAGTGTTTGCCATAATCTAAATGACACTGCTACCCTGAAAAATATTTCTGATATATGCACTACAGTATGAAGTATCTAACTCTCAAACCCTTGCCAATGGTAGCTACTGTCATTCTCTTAATCTCATTGAATTTGATAAATAAATCTAATGCATCATAATGCTGCTTTGCAGTTATTTGATTAATGGTGAGATTAGTGAAAGGTGTTTATTGGGTTTTCTTCAACTGTGTAACTTTTCAGAAATATTTGATAGTATTTTCTTTTAAATTATATATATTAGCTAATTTCCACTACATTTATTCTTTTTCTCTTTAATTATCTAAATTTCTTTGTGCTTTTCCAAACCCCTGAAGTACTTATAGTTTTTAATAACTGATTTTTAGTTATTTAAAGGTTTTTGACACATAGTTTCTAGGCATACAGATATAGATACATAGACACATAGATAGATAGACAGATTCAGGAATTTTTGAAAGTTTAAAAGTAGCATGAATCCTAGAGTTATTTGGTATGATGTTCTCTTTATATTTATCAGGCAGAACTTATTACTTGTGTTGTCCAGATCTGTTTCTCAAGTTTAGCAAACATTTCTGTAAAGGGCAAGATAGTAAATACTTTAGATTTTGTGGGTCATATGGGTCATATGGTCTCTGTCACAATTATAATAACTCTACCATTAGAGCATAAAGGTACCTTGGACAATACATAATTAGATAAGCTTTGCCTCTGTTGTGTTTCTATAAGACTATTTATGAACTCTAAAATTTGAATTTCATATGATTTTCCTATGTTGTAAAATATTATTCTTTTAATTTGCTTCGAACTCGTTAGGGTTCAAAAAAATTGCTACTTTCAAACTTTTCAAAAAAGCCCACAGACTTTTATCTGTCCACAGGCCAACATTATTCTATATAGTTTCTAAATCTACTATGTTGATCTGTTTTGCAAAATGTTTACATTTTCTGAAAAGATAGAATAATATACTCAAAGCTGTGCTTCTTATAATTTAAGAATTATTTGTGAAATAAATGTCTTTTCTTAATCTTTTAGTCATACTTTCTTCATATTTGGGAGGATATTATTTCAGATATATACAACATTAAAATTACTATATCTTCCGAGTAAATTTAAATTTTCATCATTTTTCACTGTATCTTTTTCTTATTATAGCTCTACTGGATATTATTTAATAAATTATAGTGTAATTCTTACTATCCTTATGTTTCACTTTCTGTGGTTTGTGTTTCAATGTGTCCCTTGTGAGCAGAATGCAGATGAATATTCCAAAAATGAAATTTGAATTTTTTCTCTAGAAATTTTAGTCCATTTGTTGTATAATTGATATTTTCTAAAAGTATTTTCTCATTTATGAAAGGTAATTCCTCTCAATGTAGAATCCTAAATTGATACTATTTTTCCCAAATATTACAATCCTCCATACTCTGATATTGCGTTAAACAGCTGTCGGTCTACATACTATTACTTTAAACATAATCTAGCTTATTTTAAAATAATCTCTGCATTTTATTACAACTTCAATATGATTTGACCACTTGTGGATATCTATTTATCAAGTCAGAATGCACTAGATTTCTTACATAATTGAATTAGTATATTTTACTGGTTTTAGGAATTTCTCAGTAATTATTTCTTTATATATTATTCCCAACCAATATCTTTTTTCTTGCCCTTTTGAACTCTTATTAGACATATGTCCTAACATCTGTTTTTACTTGGCTCCTTCAGCTTCATTCTAAATAACTTTCAAGTCTGTCTTTCAGCTCTCTTTTTTTATTTTAAAGAGAAAAAATAACAACAACGATAAAACAGAGTTTCAAAGCAGTTTTGTAGGATAGTTAATATGCTGCTTATTGTTTGCTTCCTAGTAGTTATTCAGAATACAAGACATAGAAATGATATCTTACGCAAACAGTCATAGTACAAACTGTTCTTTTCAGTGAACAAAGAGAAACTAACTGTATAACTATCTTGTATTTAATTCCTTTTTTTCTTTTTCCCTCTCTCCCCGCCCCCAGTTTGTCTTTTCTTTTCAATGTTTCTTTTCAATTCACAATATCTATTGTATATTTTGGACCTTATCTACTCTTTCAGTTTCTTATACCAGTGAAACAATATGATGTTTTCACATACGGGTCTGATGTATATCACTTATGCGTTCACTCTCAAGCATCCATTTATCCATAAAAGTCTCAAGTTTATCCTTTTTATGGCTAAAAATATAACTCCATTATTTTTTTGAAAAAATCTTTTTTAGCCATTCCTCAGTTGAAAAGCATTTGAGTTGTTTCCAAGATTTAGCTATTACAAATTGTTCTACTATATACATGAGTGCATATAGATACTGCTGTGGTATGATGTTTTTCATTCTTCCAAGAAGATGCCCAGAAAGAAAATAGCTGGATTGAACGAGACCTCTAACCCTAGTTTTTAAGGAATCACCATACTGATTTCCACAGTGGTTGCACCAGCTACACTCCCACCAACAGTGGAGAAGGTGTCCTTTTCCCCACAGCCCCACCAGCATGTGCTCTCCATTCATTTTTTTGATGGCAGCCATTCTTTCTGGGGTGACATAGAATCTCAAGGTTATTTTAATTTGTATTTCTCAAATGACCAGTGATGTTGAGCATTTTTATGTATTTATTTACCATTGGTATTTCTTCATTTGAGAAGTATATACTCATCTCAGAAGCCCATTTTTGGATTGGGTCTTTGAATTTGGGCAGGGGGTCTGATTTTTTCAAATCTTTATGTATTCTATATATAAGTCCTTAGTCTGAGAGACAAGTGTTTGTAATTTTTCTCCACTGTGGGCTGACTTTTCACTCCATTGGTGGTTTCTTTTAATATGTGAAAACTTTTAGATGAGATCCTAGTTGCTGATCCTGTGAAATACTTCCCAAGAGGTTTGGTTTTTGTTCATTAATTCTGTGCTTACTCTATGTCTTCCAGTAGATTTAATGTTTCTGTTTTAATATTTAGATCTTTGATCCACTTTGACTTTAGTGCATAGTGATAGACATGGGTCTAGTTTTAGTGTCAGGTGTATGAAAAGGCAGTTTTTCTAGCACTATTTATTAAAGAGACTGTGTTTCTTCCAGTAAACATGTTGGGTTCTGTTGTAGTCAGGGGTTGTGCAGAGAGCAATTAGAATAAGGACACGGAACTTATAATATTTTTTTTATGATAGTCACCCAAAGGTAACACAAGAAACTGCAGGAAACCTATCCATAACATCAAAGACATAAAATATTTAGTCAGGCACCTAAATCCCACAGCAATGTCCCACATGAATCCGGATTAAAACCCAGAGCTCATGATAGTGCTTCCCACGAGTACAACTGGAAGTCCAGAGCCCACAAGAAGAACTCATGCCAGTCTCTTTTATGGATCCATGTGGGGAAGGCCCAAAGGTCAGTGGTGGAACCTAGGAAGTCTATGTCAGCAGGGTGAAGGAGCTGTGCTGTTAGGTGGGGAGGCCAAGAAGTCACACTCACAACAAAACCAGGGCTGTCCTATAAAGCACCACAGCCATCCTCAGCGACACAGAGGCCCCAGCTCCTCTGATGACAAGCGTAGTCGAGTACATGCCAGGAAGCCAGCATGACAAGATCATCCTGGAGACGAAGCGACACACATCTTCCTCTCTGGAGCCAGGAAGCAATGCTCGATGTGAGGAGCAGAGCTTCTCCAGGGGAACCAATGGCTCAAACAGCAACTCGTGGGAGAACCCACAATACCTCAATGCCTCAACGCAATAATTTCCCCTTCTCCATGTCTCTATTTATGCAAGCAACTCTCCTCAGGTGGAACATCTATGCTCAGCACCATGTGATGTAATCCAGCTGGCGTTAAATTGACCACCAGTTCTTAATCCATAACAGACTCCATAAAATTATGAAATGGCTGAGTGTGCCTGGGGTTGTGTCTGCATCTTCTGTTTTGTTCTGCTGATTCTCAGGCCTGTTGTTTGTTAGTTTGTGATTTTTTTTCTCAATATCGTGCTGCTTTTATCACAGTGTCATTGTAGTGCAATTTCAGGTCTGGGATTGTGACATCTCTTACATTGCCTTTTTTACCCAGGATTGTTTTTGCCACTCTATGTCTCTTTCTGTTTTCAAATGAATATTAGGAATGTTTTCTCTAGATCTGTGAGGTATGCTTATGATATTTTGATTGAAATTGCATTAAATTTGTACAGCAGTTTTTGAAATATGATCATTTTTACAATGTTGGTTCTTCCTATTTATGAGCAAGGGTTATCTTTTCATTTTCTGATATCCTCTTTGATATTTTCCTTTGAGTTCTATAATTTCAGCGTATAGATCTTTTATTTCCTTTGTTTGATTTTAAGTATTTCATTTTTTTGGATA